AGCGACTGTAGGAGCGGACGTAAACTAACCAGGATGGTACCCAGGCTAAGACCGAAGTCTTACAAATTAAAATCACTCTACAGGGTACGTTTAATATAATGTGGCTACAGTGGAAAATATGGGAATCTTGTGTAAAATTGTGTAAATATCTTAAAGGTGGGTGGAGACGATGACTTCTGGGTCAGGGCCTGCAAGGGGGGGTAGTGATTACGAATTACGCAAAATTTTCGCCGCCTATTACGAATTACGTTAAAGTCTCAGAGCTGATGACGACTTTACGATTTGCGGCTAATGTTCAATTACGAATTACGTTGATTTTTGCGGAGGCTGCCTACGAATTACCAAGTCTAAAACGGCCTGATTACGCCTTACGAAAAAGGGCTTGCAGGCCCTCCTGGGTGACAGTAAAGATGGCATGATTACTCAGAAGTCGACAGACGAGCTACAAGACAAATTAGGTCAAAATGGCGGCGTGTATAATTAGTGTCCTAGGTGTGGCCGTTCGGTTTTTCACCACTGGCATTTCTTAATATTTTCCCTTTTGGCATATCGTTTTTGTTTTCATTTCTAGTCACATCATGTTACATTTCAATGGATATATCTGCCAAATTCTCATTTATATAGGTCACATTTATAGTGCCTGCTTCTTTAAACAACACCGAAATAGTTTAGAGAACTTACCTTACATATATATGTTCTGAATTGCAACAGTAACTAAAACTAGCTAGCGCTTAATTCATTGGTATGTACGTAGCACATCTTACTGACCAGGCACTTTCCTTGTGGGTCGTCTAACGATTGTAATGTCGTATAGGATTTTCAGCCTGACTGTGACAGAACCAAATCCGACAAGCGATAAATGCATGGTGCAGCCCCTCTAAAATTTACAACACACAACTCTATAATTATAATGTAACATTACAGATGCTGGGCACATGCACGTTTTTGTGATCGTACGTACGTTCGAATTCGCACGGTGTGTGTGACAGATTCTAGCGCAACAAATTTGAAAAGTATGGACTTACGTTGAATTCGCACGAAGCCAGTTGAAGATGACTGCACTATTAAAAGAGGGGGAAATTGGGCAACTCCCTGAGGCTAGGTCCGTGTGAACTGGACTGAGACAGCCATCTTTTGTCTTCAACTTTTAGCAAGTATCCGAGATAATCTTATGGGTGTGACGTATACCTTGTTGCTTCTAATATAGTATGTTATGTAGCCACTCAATTCAGCTAAATCGGCATGATTCTTTGTGGCGACTAGAAACTGTTTCAAATGTTTTAGCTGAAGAAATATGGTGGATGCCGTTTGAAAGCTTCTACGCTTTACAGAAATTAAGTTGTCCTTTGTGCTATGTTTTATATGTATTTCAAAGGTTGCTTGTGAATCAACCATTCTCTTTCCTTCCTCCGGCCCAACCCACGGCTTAAACCCAGCCCACCCTTCATTCCTAGCATTTTACTAAGTCCTACCCTCAAAAAACACCTGTTACAAACGCTTATTGCATGAGAAAGGCACACGTAGATACCTCCGAAGCAAAGAACGTTTCAATTTTGTAACTCAAATGTTAAATAAATAACATGAAATCCACTTCATTGTACATTATACAGTAGCACTATATCATATATACCTTCAAGATTCAACTGACGAAAATAAACTGACCCGATGTATTAGAGATTTTAGAACGCACACACACGCACACACTCTTTCCACACACACACACACACACACACACACACACACACACACACACACACACACACACACACACAAATCATTTACCCTTACGACGATATCGCCCTGCTTTGTAAGTTTGATTACAAACTGGTGTAATTTTAGTTTTTAAACTATGCCATTAGTTTATTCTCACATCTACGAAGTACGACACGGTTTTTGTGGGTCATATTCCTACATGTCTAAAATGGGTCTGAGAGAACTGCCACGTCACCACACTAGGCTAGTGAACTCGCCCGATTCTAATACTAGTAGTAGGACACCAGCAGCAGTCATAGAAGACACGATAAACGGACATAACTGACTTGATATCCTTAGACTTCCTTCGGAACAAAAGTGAATGCAGAAAATTCATACCTTGCTGATATAATTATAGAAGGTAACCTCACTTCGTCGTCAGCAGTAACAATTGTGCAGACCACTTCTGAGACTGAAGGAGATGTTAATGCCAAAGTAACCAAACAACTTCTGTCATGTCCTTTGTCATGGCACACTGATATTGCTCAACTCTGGGGGACAAAATATGAGCATTTTTTAGTTGATTCAGAACCAGAATTTTATAATTTTTTTTGCAAATCAGGACAAAATTTTAGAGAGGAATCCGAGAAACAACAAATTAAATTGGTGTGGGCTGATCAGTGTCAACTTGTTTTCTCAATTCAATAATCATTTATGTGACGCTGAAGAAGAGTAACTGATGTCAATCGAAACATCCGGAAGTTAGGTTATTTATCCAGTATCAGAGTTTGATGAGTCTTTACATGTATTCTTTGTAGTGATTGGATGTTAAAACATTTGCTCATACATGTATTAAAATTGACAAAACAAAATGTACTTGTACTAATAGTAAACTGGTTTATTTCCTATTCCGAGTTGTACAGCTTTGCAGTGCATACATGTATACTGTGGACACAGAGTTGCCCTGAAAGTATAGCTGAGTAACAGTGGAATATAAACAATCTATCAATTACATAGTTCAGGAGTTCCAATCCCTCTAACCACTTTCACAATCTGTGTTATCTCTGAATACTTCAAACCATAGCTTTATATTGTATATACTAATTTGTGTCTATGTGAATAGCAGAAATACCTTCCAAACTTTATACTACTTCTAACAGGTATAAAATCTGTTGTGGTTATCAAAATAGAAATGATACTGCCTCAGCTAATCTTGCATTTAACAAATTCACCAATCCAAGATATACAATTAAAACTATTAATTATAATGTGATGATTTGGTCTGTGATATCCGATGGAGCGAAAAAAAAATTATATCTGCCGAGAAATACAAAGTTTAGTCTCGAAAAAGGAGGAATGTATTCACCATTTTGACATTTTCACAAACCTTTGCTGGGTCTCTATTTAATATTATGGTAGTATCGTTAAATCATTGGGTTTAAGTTTTTTGTGAAACTTCATAAGAAATATAGTATTTTACTGTGTTTCTCCTGTCCGTATTTAAGTTGGCTTCATAAAAAAAATGTAGGTTCGCAACAGTGTGGTAAAATAATTGGAAATGGTTTTTGACAAGATCATTCTATCAATAACAGAAAATTTTGCACTATTTACAGGATCATCTTGTCAATAGAGATAAATATTCTGTTATTGACAAGACATGCCTGCCAATACATGTGGTCACTGTTTTTTTTTCTTCATCACATACATGCAAATTAGTTGAAGATATATGCAAATTATCAGTATGCAAATTACCCTACTGTTAACGGCTTTTTGCCTACCACATGACATCATGGTGGCTGCTTGCATAGAGTCATTTTTGCACTGATCATCTTGTCAATGCATTGTATTCTGAGGCATAACTACATTAGGTTTCAGTAGGTTTATCTGTAAAATGCCAGAAAGTTTGATGGACACATTTTCCATGAAGTTTTGCAAAAGAAGCAATCATTATAAGTTCTACATTCATGTACCAGAAAACCAAGGTCTGTCTCTTAAGGTAAGTTTATAAAACCCAACGGTTTTACGAGGCTACCAAATCTCACAGAGTCCTGAAGCAAAAGATTGCATTGCAAAAAAGGTGAATTGAGGCTTGGACTCGAGACACTACTGGCTAGTTGAGAGGATCTTGTCCCTCACTTCATTGTAGTTGAGTTCGTCGCGATCGTTGGCCTGGATGGGCACACCTTTGCACTTCTTGCCCAGGGCATCAGAGCTGGAGGAGTGCATCATCTTAGCCTTGATTTTGACGTTATCTGGGCACCTGGAAACAAAAAGAGACATCATATTATCATGAAAGTTTATCTGTGTTGGTAGTAATCATAGTTAAACGTTGACCTAGGCCTCCTCTGATAGCCAAAAAAGCTATGATAGGAGCCATGACATCCACATCCCAGGCTGGTTTAGAATTCAAAATAAAAAAAAGAAACAATGCATTGATAAGATGGAAAAACTAGAAGTAGAACTCCAGGACAAATAGTGTGAATGTAATATAACACTGATGGCGATCCAAATAAAACAAACAAACTAACTGACCACTTGACGAGGATGAGCTTGTTGCGATCCTGTCCCTCCTTGTTCTTGTAGTCGAAGTCGTAGACACTCCAGCGTGGTTCATCACTGGGGAAACTGGCCTGGAAGTCCTCCCAGGACGACTCCTGTCATAAAGAGGATAGAAGGAATGGTTTTTGTTTGTTTGTTTTGCATAACCGGTAAACCACCTTTAGGCGTAACACCCCAGTTTTGTAGATGTACATACATGTACAAGCTACATAAGACCGGACTGTAAGATTTGAACCACTCACACTGGGAAGGTCCCAAATAGTGTTCTAAAGAAACAAAAGGTAACTGACAAAACATGCTTAAAATATGTTTAGAAAGATAAATCTTCAAAATTTTCTCAACATAACACATTACAGGTTTACCTTTCTAAAGATGTTTTAGAACATTCTTAACATATGTAACATTTTCAGAGCATTCCTAAACATATTTTAAGAACTATACCTACATAATTAGCCCCGTCAAACTATAACAAAAAGTACAATAATCATTTTAGCAGATTTTGACCTTAAGGATTGGCCTACATTTCAGAGTCACCAAGTTTTGTCCAATTTTTTTATTCGTTACTCCAAAAAACACTAGACTCTCCGTTAATTTACAAATTCGGCTGTGACATTATGGAGATAAACTTAACAAATTGGGCTGAAGAAAGCTATGAAAAGAGGAAAAACCTATACAAACCTCTACTTTGCGATCCACGACGATCTCTTTCTCGTTATCTGACACCTTAAACACCACGTACTTGAACTTGTGCTTTTCCTTTACTTCAGCGTATGCTGTAACCACTTCATCAGTAACTTTGATTCCAGATGCCTGGGGAAAGATTGAAAAATTTGTTTGCACATTTAAAATATTTTTTCAAAGTACAACTTTTAATTTAAAAATCATGTGCATTTTGCACATTGCACATGGGTATTTCAAGCCCTGATTTGGTACACTTTCCTCATTACTCATTTAAGCAGTAAAAATTGAACATTTAGCCCATTTATGATCAGAAAAATGTTACCAACTAGAGAGACTTTCTTGAACTGTTTGTAAAAAAATGAGCACAAATCCTGAATGTTACGTGTTCTTTTCCATGCCATATTGTTACTACACTGTAATATAAGTAGGACAAGCTTTTGTCATGGCAACATAAACCAGACACAATACGTGTGCGTCCTATACATATTGCCATGGTAACGTGTTGCTTGCCCAAATGATGCAGTACCTGTAACTTTTGGATCTGGAATACTAGTATTGTAAACTAGATACAGGTAGTATTTTTTCTTTTTTTCAATAAGCCAGTCAATCACATACTTCTAAACACTTTGAACTTGTTTAAAACTAGAATAAATACTGAAAAAAAAAACTCACCATTATTTTCTGTCCTTTGGTACTTCAGGAAAGTGAATCGATTCGATGATATACACCTACAGAAAGGAGAACAAAACAATAAAAAAAACATGTTAGTCATTTCACTTTGGCAATCTCCAGTTGTCCAATTTATACAATACAGTTTAACAATAAGCAAAACTCACATGAGGACTCTTTCATTTTCAATGTCAATGTTGGAAAACCGATTGTGTAGTGTTTAATCACACGGGTGTCAGATCATGGCACTAGAGAAGGTCGATCAGCTAAAAAAAATTTATGTCCCTTGGGAAACCACACAAAAAAAGGCTAGGGTCGAAATTTTTTCTAGGGTGGGGAACAGGGAAAACAACATTATTTTCCCAGGTCTGACATGCGAGTATTCTGCTTAGGGATTTTTGCCTCTCCGTGGCATTACTCATTTGAGAACCAGAAATAGGCAAGTAAGAACCATTTGAGAACAAAAATTTACATGTTGTGGACTTACCCATCAATCTCAAACTCTAATTTTGTGAAATATAAAAATAAGCCCCCATAAAGTAAAGTTAACGTATATATACTTAGTAACGTGTTGTCCATACATTTTTGTCTTGTTTACAGGCATATATCATTTAGATCTTCAGACAACGAAGCCAAGCCAAGAAGAATATCATTTAGGTAAACTTGAAAAAAAGAACAACTTAAATATTAAGCCCAACACTTAACTATGTAATATAAAAGCCACAATTTAAAAAATAAAATCAACTGATGTTGACAGATAAAGGCATGCCTTGATTACACACAATTTACAACAAATTATGAAGAAAATCCTAGTCCTGTGATATTTTTCTTAATCATTTTTAATAATCCAAGGAAAGAATTAATGCAACTGGCCTTGCATAATAACATAACTTCCCAGAAATAAGATTTGTGTCCATATCAAATGCCATTTCGTACCAGATTAATAGCAATATGACTCATAATGGCACACATAATAGTCTGAACCCCTTTGTGGGTCACCCAGACATCCGCCGCACCATATTTGGAAGTTGTTCAGCTGAGGTCCATATAAGGAAGGGGGGAGGAAACAGCTCCGACACCGGGCCATGACCATATTTGGAAGTCACAATCCATAAATGGTCATGGGGAGGGGGGCTGACAGTTTGGTGCTCTCCATTCAACACCGAAAAACCGGGACAAAACACATTAAGTCATGAAAACATGAAGCTTACAGTAAGGCGGCAAACTGAGGGCAAATTACGGACGTTTTTTTTTTTAAAGCCAGTTGAAAAAATTCTGCGCCCTGGCCACGCCCCGCGTTTTCTGCATGGAACACCGGGTCACCCCATCTCTTCTTGATTATTTGTCAGGGTTCGAAGTCCTAGATACTTCGTTCTAGTATCTAAAAAAGCCCAGTTCCAAAATATTTCCTTCCATAGTGTGCCAGAGGATGTTTGTGAAGAAATTCTAAAGAAAGTTCTGGAATACAACATGTACAGCCCTCCCCATGCACCATGCCACTGGCCGGCTTGACGTCACCCGTTTCAGATGACAAAGGCAAATAATTTATGTGCTCTTGTTCAATCCCTCGCCATATTTGGTCTTCAATCCATACTAGTCTATTGTAACACAACACAGCAAGGCTACGGTGCTTCTAGTGCCACGTTTATACTAACTACGACCTAAACGAAGAACCAAAAGGGACCAAGTCCTAATTTTCAATCGCTACAAATTTAGATCGACATGTGTTCCGGTTAGGACTTCCCGCATGCCAACACCTCAACAAAGAATTGCTTGTGAAAGTCGAGCCAAAATGGCCCCTAAAACCACACAAAATGAAGCTGAAGAACCCTACGAATGTCTAGCCGTACCTCTGGATGGTTCTTAAGTCGTCTGAGACTGAAACAGTGGCTGGTTGTCACGCTGTTGAGGGAGGGGGGAACTTCACTCTGCCTGAGCGCGCGCCAAAAGGAACTAGTCTTACCAGTATGACCTGGATCGTTAGCGCACCTGGTGACGTCACTTCCGTTTCCGGGTATGAACTAACAGTATATCATGGGAGTTGGGTCATCTGACTGGTATAATGATATGATTTATTAATAAGAAAATGCTTGGCGGATTTTGAGGGGGGAAATGGACGGATTCTGGTAACAAAACTTCCTGCGGTGGACTGTTTCCTCTAGATATTTGTAGGCTCTGTCCCCGGATGTAGACCCAACATTTAGCTTAGAGAGCCTACTGCGGCACTGAAGTAAACAGCAAAACTTGACGTTAGCTATATTTGGGTCCGAATAAACGTATTTAATAGCCTCAGTCGTATAGGCCTCAAAACGGATGCCAGATGATCAAATTAATGACACTGCATAATGTCCAAGACTAAATTATTGCCGTATTTACGTATGTACTGTAACAACGGTATAACCATCAGAAATTATAATCCCAAATTGACCGTAGCAGATATTCTCCAAGTAGAGGTTGTGGGGGAATGATAGTTACCTTAGGCTTAGTTTTAATACATATGCTGGCCGCTTTTTTTTTTTTTTTGTCGCTACCCCCACCAACCGTCGGTGACCGGCGACCTTCTCTGGCTATTAAGATCTTGCCACCGAAAGGGATCTGCTTGTAGATCTAATAGGTAGCAGAGGCTATTACTCAAACAGTGCAGGGTTCCCCAACCATTACCATATTTGGGTGAGGGGACGGTTCAGTAGACTTTGGACTCCGCCCTAAATCAACAACCCCTCTGGGACCGGGACGGAAGGAATTTACCATATATGGTCTTGTCAAGGGGCAGGTGAGGTCAGGTGCAAAATACCGTGCGGGTACAAACTAGCAGATACAGATATAAAGTTGACGCGTGTTCTAGTTGGCCTTTTTTTGAAAATTTCCCTAAGGCTTCTTGCCAATTAGGTGGATTTTTTTAGGGGGAGGAAGACATCAATCCAAATTCTGCTGCGCTTTTACATCATATTTTGCCCAAATAATACATTTTTGTATGCTTCTATCTTCGGAAATGCTTTTTGGCGAGTGAAGGCCTGTGGATTACTTGTATTTCTGATGCTAATAGTGCTACAATACTGATCTGATATTTGGTAAGCTCTTTGTCTTTTTTCTCCCAAATTTTCTTAAGCCATGTCTTCGCTACAAAACGACGAATAGTTTTCTTTTCTACATTAAAACCCGTATAGAAAATCCTGTTACTACACTTACATGTTGGATTTATGTAAGTCAAAGCACAGTGTTATACTCAGTATCTGTATCAATATAGCAGGTATAACAACCCTTTCCAGTTTGTCTTTGTCTTTCTTTGTATATGGATCCCATACTGTTACGGCACTGAATGGTGCATTCTTGTGGCAGTTTAAATTTTATCAGATAGCATTTTAAAAAAAGCTCAACGGAGTCAAAACAGATACTATAACATAAAAAAGAAGACATCTAGTTAAAAAGAGGAATTGGCGTATACTAAAATACGGACGTGGCGTTGTGTTACGTGATCATATGAGTATAAGGAACAACATCTTACCTTGGCGATGCTTTACGTCCTGTCAGATACTTCTGCAAATTCTGATCTTACGTTACTTACTGCTACCTTTTTATACACTATCGAGGACATGAAGTCATCGATCGCTACATTAGTCACGTTCTTTTTTATGCACAACCGAATCATATAGACTTTTGAGTTTCTTATTCCTCGTCTTCCTCAGGCCCCAATATGGGTATAGAACGGTACCCTAGGCCCCAATATGGGCATAGACCGCCAACCCCTTTCAAAACGTTTAATCATCATCGGTCGACCGTATTGGTTTAAAAAGTGACGTTATTTCAAACGCGGAAAAAAACACATCAAAATCCGAGTGTTACACGGCAATGTACATGTAGCCAGTCTCTCATTGGCTAAACTGCTATTTGCCATGCTCTCATTGGTTGAAGTGGTAGCTGTGATTGACAGCTAGGATCGGTCTGTACGAGCACTCGCAGGCTTCTTAATCCCATATATGGTCAAACGACCTTCGATAGCCGGCCTAACAAACAGAAGATGATCATTAGGTTATCTCCACATTCGGCACATTACGCTGTAAAGATTGCGTCAATCATTATCTTAAAGGCATCCAATGCGATTTAAGGGCAGCAAAACTTCTGAATAAGGCAAACTTTGTGATATTGACACTGCAGTGACACATACTGCTTAACATTACCACATCTGAGTCAGCATTTCATACTTTGGGCGTTTGAAACATCAGAAACAAGCCCCAATATCACTCCTTTTTTTTCTGGGTGTAAGTTTCAGACTGTAAGTTTAGAACCACCGCGAAAGACCCGAAGTGTGGATTTTGGAATGGGGGGGGGGGGGTCTTCCCACTCCTTCCTAGGGGGTCTGGGGCCATGCTCTCCCGGAAAATTTTGAAAAAAATGGCCCTTCTGAAATGACATAATTTTCCTGCGTTTTTGAGAGAATTTCAAAGAAAATATCAGAGATAACTTTTTATTCAATGACAAATTGAGCAGTTTTTCTACGACTCCAGTCCCGCTGGTGATACGAATCAGACCATCTTTTAAAGAAAAATCTTGAACCTTTACAGGTTAATTGAGAAGTTTATTGCAAAGTTAATTGAGAACTTAATTACATAAAAAGCGGGCCTTTGAGCCTCGTGGGGGGGTCTCCTCAAACATGGGACCTCCGACTTTACGTCCCTAACCGAAGCCCAGGCTAGGTCCCCATTTTCACCTGAGTCGAGCGGGAAAATAAGTGTTAAGTGCATTTCCTAAGAAATGGCCTGACAGGGATTCTAACCCAAAACCTTTCGGTCAACAGCCCTTACCACAATACTACCTTGCTTCATTAACATGGTAAGTAAGTAAAAATTAACGCCCTGTAAGTAAGAAGCTAACAAACGACCCTGTTGATAACAGATAAGCTCCTTGTTAAATCGTTTCGGCAGGTGGAAATACAAATGACACAAAATCCTCTAACAAACACTCTTAACCGTATTGTGATGAGGCCTAGGAAAATTATTCTTGCGTTTCCTATTAAGGTCCTTAAAAAAATTAGGGTCAGTAGCTGAAAAAATTAGGGTCAGTATTAAGAGATTCCTTTTTTCCTAGCTTGATTTTTTTTTTTTGATTTTGAGACGTGATCCAACGAATTTTCTAACACAATTAATAAAATTTTGCGATCTGGAATGTGACATGTAAGACGTGAATACTAGTTTTTTCATACTTTTGTTGTAAGTCCAGTACTGAATCACCGAGTTTTTTTTTTCATATGTGTGTGTACTTGAGCCAAAACGACAGATCTGGTTAGGAATATTTGCAAATCGAAAATTTTGTCTCCCCCCCCCCCTTTTTGCTAGAATCGGTCGTGTAACCTGAAACACAACCTTTGTTCCTAGGCCTAACTTTCCCACTAATAATTCTCGTGTCGATATCGTGTTTGCTACAGTTATTCAGCCCGAAAGGATTTGCTGACATCTGACACTGGGTACTGGGCATCCTTAGTCTTTTAGTCAATGCAAGTGCCGCGTATAGGAACAGTCTAACCTTAATTGTAGGAGAGGGTCAAGAAAAAATTTACTATTACTATATAGTCCACTACTTCCCAACCTAAAAGAGCGCCGCAAAGTGCCCAGTTTAGTTGTTTTAAACAGTTTAATATGTCACGCATGATGTGTAGCAAGGTCATTAGGAGTACAATGGCCTTTGACACTGCTTTTTGGTAACCCTTTTAAAGTGGAATGTCCCATGTCTCACAAGTAGTTGTACGAGGTTTGTCCTAATTTCTCAAGTTACGCTCTGGATAATTCTTCGCAACAACTCTCGTCGAAGAGGTCCTGAAGACAAAGCTATTTGGGCCACGCTGAAGGAATGGCTGCTCCCGAAGTCAAGTACTCTACACCGGGGTCTCTCCCGGAAGACGGGCGGTTCCTGAGGTCAGGAGACCGCTGTATGTTCTACCTGGGCCTCGCGGTGGTGGTTCTTGCCCTCGTGGTGGTCGCCATAGTCGTGCCGCTGGCTCTGAGGCACAAACCGGACACCGAGACGGACCGAGTGCGCCGACTCATGAAGGAAGTCCCGCTGGTCGATGGGTAAGACATTTTAAGGCATCCAAGGCAGTTTTAACCTGATTTTCAAAGCCAATATTCTAGTTATTTATCTACATTAAATGCCCAAAGTATGAAATGCTGATTTAAATGTGCTAATGTGAAGCAGTATGTGTCAATATCACAGTTATATATGTATCTCTTTACAAAAAGAGAAAAAAATACTTGTGACAGACAGAAATGTCTAATATTATATAACGTATATCAATACGCCTTGTAAGTTCATATTTCTGTAGTCAAAGGTTCTAAGATAAGAATAGTATTATGTCATTGATAACATTATCATTGTCGCATACATTGTACTCCGTACAACTGTCAGGCTATAAAGTTCCTCCTCTGATAGTAGTCTGCCTAAACGCCCCTAGCAGCATTTCTATATATGCTATAGTAGCCTGCAATTCAGTCCCGATCCGCTAGAAGAGCGTTACCTCCAGTCACCAGCGTGCCTTGATAGTCTTTGGGAGTCTTTGGGCAGGTGGTTGAAAGTCGTCACGTGATTATGTATTATAGTACATGTAGTGCTCATGTGCGTACATCCAGTACACAGTATTTATGGGCGAACTCCGTAGTCAAAAGTAGTTCGGGCACAAAGTAGTGCGGCACAGTACTTGAGAAAAAACTGCCGAGATTCTTCCGTGCGAGGTGAAAACTATATGCTGAATATAAAATTTACAGCGTCAAACGCTCTCACTAGGGCTCTGCCCCCCCCCCCCTCTTGTGGGAAACATTGACGCTTAATTGCGTCACATTACGCAGTAGAGTGAAATGTGCTGCATTAGCTGGCAAATGATTTCATTCTAGTTGTGAAACTCAAGGTTCTAAATGCACTTTGTGGTTAACAATGAATTGTCCACGCCTTACCATTTTTCTTCCCATATGTATTCCCGTCTCGCACCCGAATGCTTTAAACATTTTAAAACATTGGTTGGCGCAACCGAAACGCAGCAGACCTGGTACCCGTCAAACACCAGTCGACCTTGCTCCCGACCTACTCCTAACCATGGTTGGGCAGGAGTTCGGGTAGTGTTTGGGAGGCCATATACTATCGACAGGGGCTCTTACGTCATTCTGCAAACGTAACCCGGACAGGTGGCTATTTCCTCATCATTTATCTACGCCCACTTCGGCAAACTCACAGCCACTTAACAAGTCTTTTAGACGCCAAGCTTTCAGTTGCTTAAAAAAAGCCTGCTTCTTGAGACTTTTTTTTTTCTAAATCTTTGTCTTAAATACCACCCAAGATGCCTGGAAAAGATGGAGAAATTACTTTTGAGAAGCCGAAATCCAGGTCGAAGTTTGTGGCAGGTGGAGTTATGGCTCTGGTGGTTGTTGCGGTGATTGCCGTGGCCATCGCCGTGCCTTTAGCTCTCCAGCGGCGGGACGCGACCGCGGACAGGGCCCGCAGGCTGATGGAGGAAGTTCCGCTGGTGGACGGGTAAGTCTTCGGGAATAACACAGAAAACTACACGGGGAAATTGCTACCCAGGCAACTCATGGATAGATTTTGAAAACTGTCAGATGCCTTCCAATAGCGTTCCGTACTTTTCGCCAATGGATGCTACTTTGAAATTATAACGTTTAGACCATGCAAACATTTAGAAAGCAATGATACAAAGTGTTAATAGCTTTTAAAAAGGAAAAAGAGCTAAACGAATTACAATTCAGAGACTTCGACGAAACAAAAACATCCTCATATAACACATCACCTATTTGAAGCTGACTATTTTACCTAATTTACTTGATTGTAGCTACTTGACGATGTATATATGTAACGTTATCTGTGTTCCATCCTTTTGTTGTGACCTGTGCTTAACCCAGTGGATATGTGTGTACAAGAAAGGTCTTCATTCATTCATTTAAATTCCCTAACGCACCATGACACAGCAGAAAAAGATGGCTTAGCTGTGTTACGGTTAAACCACAGTCAATGTTATGTAGGAGGGTCTGCATGGGGGTCCCGACAACGCTATACGCTAAATTCAGAGAGCCGGCTACGTATTACGCTACAGTAGCGAAATACGCTTTACGATAAATTCCAAGGGGCTACAACTCATACGTAGAATTTAAACGTGAATTACGCAAAATGCGCCAATTACGCTCTACGCTGAATTAGAGCGATCTGTCTACGCTCTACGAAGAATTAAAACAGCCGATTATGCTCTACGGAAAAGGCCATGCGGGGCCCCATGTAGCGATAACACTAATAGTAGTTGTATACAAGGAAGCTATTGTTTGATCTTAACAGTGAATATTGGTAGGGGAGGTATTCTGAAACAATGGCTAAGATTTGGGAGTGCGTGCAACATGAATAGGCTCTTGCATCATGCTACACGTTAAAGGCATAAAGTGCAATTTGAGGGCAGCAAAACCAAAATACATTTATTCTAGATCAGAGCAAATCTGCCTGATTTTGACATTTGCTGCTATTTCTTAGCAAATTGTCGTCAACAGTACATACTTAAAGCGTTTGAAATAGCCCCCAAACAAGCTAGCTACAAGCTAGCTTTATTTTCTGGTACCATCTATAAATAGCTAGACTAAGCCTGAAATACGAAACGTTTTTTTTTTTCATTTTGACATCATATTTTGTCTCACATGCGCGTATGGAGCAAGACCGATTCAATTTACTACATTAAGAAAATTGACTTTAAAAATTCAGTTCTACCACCCTTCAACCCTAGTTTCGTATTTCAAAAAACGTTTCGTATTTCAGGCTTAGTCTAGCTTTTTCGGTGCAATGAACATGTCTGCAGTGCAAATGAATTGTGCAGTGCAGTGTATATCCGCGTATATTGTGTTGTTAAGCAGACAATGACATTTGAGGTATCTATACCTGCAGTTATTTCAAAACTACCTGGATGTGAAAAAAAAGATTCCCACCCAAACATTTTCACTTCTGTTTATTTTCTTGTAATGCTCAAATTGTTGGGTCTAGCCGCAGGCGCCAACAGTTGACTCGGTCACGGTAGGAGTGGTTTGGGCAACGCCCACGTAAACACACGTGTAAAGCGTCGGTCACAACCCGCCGTGCGTGCTTTTTGTCCGTACGTTTTATTGGGAGGCTACGTCTGCTACGTTTTTCTGAAAACGTGGGGAAGGAGTGGCGTCGACGCACGTCACTCGCACGTCACTCGCACGGTTGCGCAAGGTGTAAGAGTGTGGTCTGCACGCCACGTCTGGCCGTGAGCGGTTGCGTGCATCGTTCGTTGCGCAAGTGGCAAGTGAGTTGTACGTGCTTACAACGTACGATCTCTGTGCGATTGCAACTTAACCGTAAGGAGGCCGTACTCACACGTGCTTCTTACGTACGGTACGTACGGGGCACGCGCGTCGCTCGTACTCGCACGCACGGGTGGTGAATCCGCAGACCGCGCGCAGAAAAAGTTTTACATGCACTTAAAGTTCTACTTCTTGTCTACGTGCTCCCAAATGAGGATTCCGTACGGAGGCGGTACTCACCACTTACGGATCCCCTACGTTTGCCCACGTTTTTGCACGTGACAGCACGCAGATGCACGTACGGTGGGTTAACCGGCTGTGACCGAGGCTTAACACATACAGCAGGCACAAACTGTGTGCGCTGACAACCTGAAATATGAGACTTGATAGCAAACACACACACGTGTACACACCAGTTTGGACCATAAAAGCTGTCAATATTATAAACCCCCTCTAGTGTCTTTACTTATAGATTCTAACGTTCTTACGGCAAGACCCTTTTGATTCTTACATGCTAACACTGTAAGGCTCTGTCATACACATGAGTAATATGGCCTAGTCGAACTCCCCCCAACTATTGTAAGGGATAGGTTGGCTGGTGTTTTGCGAGGTCGGATACTGTTCGGCTGCGCCAACCGAATGTTTAAAAATATTTAAAACATTTGGTTGTTGGCGGGAATTCCGGTCAAGTTTGGCTGGTGGTTGGTTGGTGTTCGGAAGTAGAACGGGCGTAGTTGGCAGTGACATTTGACTGAAATCTAAGTCAAATTCGATCGGAGTCATATCGGGAGGTAGTCGTGTCCTGGTCAGACTGCTTCCGATCTCCAGCCAATCTTGGTCTGCTGGCTTGACTGTTACGCAACACGATATCACCCACTTAATAAGGGTGGGAACTTGTACCAGGTGTTTCATAGTAAATTTGTTTTCCTTGTCATAAAATCTCCCACATTCTTTCATTGTGGTCCCTACAACACGCTACAAAGAAGGTGTAAGATAATTATTGTAAATCAACAGTGATTTATATGTTTAGTGTATATGTTTATAATAAAATACCTGTCTATGTGCACGTGCTGTATCATATACATTCAAACCTGTCCACATATCAAATAATTATAAGAACCACCTGGACATCGATATAGTCAAGTTCTACAAGTGACCACATCTAAATTATGGACCACCTGGTCAATGATATACAGTCCTAGTGACCACTTCTTTACAGAGTTCTTTACTGCAAGTCCATGCCCGAGAGATAATTGAAAACTGACAAGAAACAATGGGTACTGAAGTTCTACTTTTACTAATCTATGGTTCTATCTAAACTCAAAACTAACAACGTATGTGTATGTGACTGAGAGAGAGAGAGAGATAGAGAGAGAGAGAGAAGAGAGAGGGAGAGAGAGAGAAGAGAGAGAGAAGAGAGAGATCACTTTTTGTGGTCGCTAAGATAATTTTCCTATTCTACAAGCATTAAGAATCCTGTCTGTAGTGACCATCGGTCTCCTGGGTGGTCTTCTTCACCAGTTTTGGCTGTATATTGAAACGTTTATTGTGTAAATACATGTTTTAAGCAACAGGGAAAAGGGCGACAATGACAAACACTCTGCCTACTCTAATCTCACTCTAAATCTTATACATTTATTAGTCCTGACCTCTTTTATAGTCACATATAGTAAATGTTGTTAATGTTGGTTTCAAGATTCTCAAGCACTCTAGAAAAGAACAAGTGTCCTTCATGTAGCACGTCGGCAGAACGAGTTTTGGATGTTGGCCAACGTTGCATCAGAATTTTCCCGGTGCAAACAATATCTTTTCCGACACAACATTTGAAAACTAGTGGTGGGCATACGACCTAAAACGAGACGTTCTTTCGAAGTGCTATGCTAGTAAGTGTACCTGTGCATTCATGAGCATATTTCCCAAAAGTAAATTCAAGTGTGTAGTTTAAAAAAAATTGCAGTCGAGAAACTTAAAGAAAATTCAAGCAACTTGCGTTATGTTTGTGCCTACTAAAGTAAGGTCGTTCTATTCACTGAACTCTTCAAAAGCTTTGCTTTTTAATTGATTCTGTGACGAAGTCAGTAAAACATAAAATAAATGAACAAACCGTCACTTTGACGAATGCATTGACCAACGCGACAACCCAAAATTTACTTTTCAAATCCCCGTTGAGTATTTCCAGTCAGGCGTTACTGCTGTAAGTGGTGCGGAAACAGCTAACAGTAGTTGTCAATATGATAAGGGAGGAGGCAGACTTCAGTTGGCCCACATGAAGTGTTGGTACTAGTAAGGACGAGGTCACAATCGTTGTACGATTATCAAGCAAACTGACGACACTAAGCCATTCTCTGGGTATTCGTGTAGGTGCCGTACAAAAATCTTCTGTTTCATAATGGAAGAAAGTTGGTGGTTGGTTGTACCATGGTTGTACCATGGCCTGCTTAAAGATCGCATGACGACCTATGATGGAATTGAGGCCGCCGTTACAACTTAGCAACAAGTCGAACTTTTGTACAATTCCTTTGCGCGAAGAAAAGCACACGGTGTGTTTTGAGACAAGCAAGTTGAAAACTTTCAGGACAATACAGTCTGACTACAAGCCGGATTTTACTAGTATTCTAAATGAACAAATTCACATCGGTACCATAATCATATTTTTCATCAATAGTTACAAAAGCAAATTCAAAGACTATATTCACCTGGACCACCTAAAACGTACTAAAACCCTTCCTTTTCCCAATAGCACACTCTTATAGGGATAATAAAAACATAAAAGAACTACTTTGTTCATTATCGGAGGAAATAATCTCTGAAATGAATGGCCTATCAGTGAAGAGGTAGTAATAAAACAACATGACGGCGGACTTTCATCATGACACACAGTGATGACAATAAATTAAGATTAATTAGTTTATCATACAAGGAACAAACAGTGGCAGACATAACGTATTAAGGTGTTACCAGATGTTCACAGGTGAAGATAACTTTGTTTGCCAAGTTTGTTTGTGGTGCAACAATGTGACAATAGTTTGGTGATAAAAAAATCCCCTGCTTTTATTCCGATGCGTGTTTCTGTTTGTTTTCCTCAAGTACTAAAATGTCACGTGATGTACTCTTTTGATGCTTGAAAAGACTAAGGGCAAGGTCGGTGCTTTTTTCACTTTTTTTTATTCATCAAAACATAAAAACATAACAAGGACAGTGTGGCGCTGCACTCAGGTTAACAACTTATATTAACAGCGCCACACAACAAAAAGGTACAATTAACATTCAAATATACAAAGTTGACATATCTGTGCGCCGTAGTCCCACCACCCCAAGACATTAAAATGTTAAATTAAATACTAACAGAGATATTTGAAAGATAAGATTACATGGTAACCTCCTATATCTCATTGGCGGAAAAACATCCGCCAATCAGAGCTAGGAGGGGAAATTTAGGCCCGTTAACGTAGTAATTGGACTTCTATATCTAATTGACTGTTAGAAACAGTCAAGCAGAGCTAGAAGCGCTCCAATGTAAACCTGAGTGAGTTACATCGTTTTAAAGTTGTACATAGATGGTAACATTGAGGAGCCTCTAAGAATAAAGTGCAGTTTAGCTTTATCTGACACATAATTAAGGTTGACAAGATGACCGAGTAAATTTGCAATCTTTCACTTATATCCATGCACTTTTTCAGTCATATATCGTACTTCCTAGCAATGTTATGGACCTTCGTTTTTCAATTATAACATGACTGGATATCCTTTTACGCTAATCATAATGAAAGTGTGTTTTATAAAGAGTAAAATTACTTGAATCCTATTCGTTATCGACGGAAATAATCTCTGAAATAAATAGGAGGTAGTAATAAAACTTTCATTAAAACATGACGGCAAACTTTTATCATGTCACACTGACGGAGATAGGTTAACATTAACTAGTTTATGGTGATTATACAGGGAACAAACGGTGTCAGTTTAAACCTATTCAGGTGTTGCTAGATAATTCTCAAAAGCTTCACTGACAGATAAAACTGTTTACCGACGTTGTTTGTTGTGCAATTATATAACAATAGCTAGGGTAATAAAAATTCCTGTAGCTTTTAGTCTGATGTGTTTTCATGTTTTAAAATCTTATGCAATGTCTATTGATACCTACATTAAGTACTTTCTAGTGCAATGTTATAGTTTTTTGTTAGAATATGATCTAAAAGTTTTTAAAGCTAAGGAAATGCTTTAATTTTATTGAGAGCAAACTTAAAATTGATGAATCATAAAGTTTGTGTTTGAATATATAAATGTATTAACACAATGAGGGAATGATTTAACATGATAATGAAATGGGAAAGATGGCGTTTTTGACATTTTTTTTTGTCAACAAGCTTTGTTATTTTGTTTCTTTTGTTCAGGCATAACGACTGGCCATGGCAGCTCGCAAAGAACTTCGGGAACCGTCTGAGCCAGGTGAACCTGGGTAATGACCTGCGCAGTGAGTACACCAACTCTCACACAGACATCCCCCGGCTCAGGCAGGGCTTGGTGGGAGCACAGGTACGGTCAGGAAAGAACTTACTTACTTACTTACTTACTTAGTTGGAGCTCCCGCTCGAACCAATCCAGAAAGTCTCCTCCATAACACTTGGTCTTCCATGGCCCTTCGCAATTCATAAGAATCATTAATTTACTACATTAAAATAATGACCAGAAAATTGAATCTGACAACCCAGTTTTGCCGCCCTGAAGTTGCATTGGATGCATTCAGAGAAATCCTTACGTGTGTATGTTTTTGGCGACGTCTCAGGGAGGAGCCTAATGGTACAGTATTGTGTGCAATTTGCAAGAATTCTAGGAATCGTACAGGAATTTTTTCCACATGCATGGAATGTCCACAGCAATGCTCTGTTTGTTGACATGCCAACATTCCTGGAAACCTTTCTGCCCCCGGTGCCCTACTTTCTGTGACCCCGCGGCTCGTTCCCTATACACTCAAAGGAGGGGGGGGGGTACCAAGGCTTCCTTCTTCTTCTTCTTCTTCTTCTCGGGTCATCACTGCTAGACTCTTTCCCTCCAAAACTCCGCGCATGCCCTTCCGCTGGGGGTCAGGGCTTCCAGGTCCTCCTTGATGCAGGGTTCAAGCAGGAGGGGACAGCCAGGAGGCTTCCTCAAAATCATGAAATCATGGCAGCGTCATGCAAACAATAACCCTAACAGCATCCACCGTCGCCAGGGCAATGTATGTTTTCATTGCCGGTCTTGTTGTTTCCAGTTCTGGGCCGCCTACACTCCCTGTAACTCTCAGTATCAGGACACCGTGACCTGGACACTCAGGCAGATTGACGTCATAGAGAGGTTCACCACTAAGTACCCGGATACGTTCCAGTGGGTCACCACCGCGCAAGGTACAGGAAAATTGGCCTTTGAAGTCACGTAACTGGAGACAGACAGACAAATGAAATTAACCATGTTGTTTCGTTGCTTCTGTTTTCATTTTTATTTTATACTCAATATTTTTTTAAACGATTACATGTCTTAATCAGGTCATAGACCTTTGACGTCTTTTGCGTTGCTGTGGCATAATTAATTCCGCATTCTGTGCGTCCTGAACAAATGACTAAACACACAGGGTAATATTTTAATGGCATGGTGAATGATTGACTCTTCATCCTCATTCCTCCACACTTTCTTCTTATCCTTTGGAATGGACTTTGGCATTCAACGTTTTCAAATATTTTTGTTCCATTTATGACATAGATTTGCTCATTGTGTACGATTTACAGTTAAGTCGAAACATTTTAGGGGGGAATGGAAGAAAATCCATGCGCGCACGGATGTCATCATATAATCAAATCAACATGGCCTAACAAGAAAAAAAGACTCAACAACGAGACGTTATTTTTGACCCATCAGGTATCCAGGACGCGTTTGACGCAGGTAAGATCGGCTGTATGGTGGGGGTGGAGGGAGGGCATAGCATCGACAGCAGCCTGGCCGCTCTGCGCATGCTCTACAACCTCGGCACCCGCTACATGACCATCACACACAGCTGCAACACGCCATGGTACGCATGCGCAGTCAGGAGGTTTTCTTTGTGATAGTCTTGAAAACAAACATCGTTATATTTCATTTGAATTTTCTTTTGATTATAGTTCCCATCCCAATACACATTTGCACAATTAAAATTTATTTGATTAAGATTTGATTCATACTCCATTGATTAATATCGACCAAGGAAGCAAAATACTATTTCGTAAGTCATAGTACATTAACTTTCTTGAAATGTCATCAAGTAAGAAGAGTTGTCGTAGAAAATGATTTTTATTAAAAAAAATGACATTAATTCCAGGCCTTATCGGTCATATCTGACCGAACGTGAAGCAAAACAATCACAAATGGATATCTATACAATACAATACAATACAATACAGTACAGTAACGGTGTACAATACATGTACAGTGCAAAACAAATCATTTTAGACATAATGCCTAGTCTCCACCAGACTCCTTTGCAGGCTGAATAAATTCTAGAAATCGGCCTAAAAAGAATGTAGCTGGAATGCAGCTTTTCCTGGAAACCGGACCCTATATGGCCGGCTAACTCTCCTGGCCAGCTACATTCTTTTTAGGCTGATTTCTCCTATTTATTCAGCCTGGAAAGGAGTGTGGCGGAGACTACATAACGTTCAAGATGTGTTAACGACTCTTTTCCAGGGCGGACAACTGGCTGGAAACGTTAAATCCCACCCCAGAACACAACGGACTGACGGACTTTGGGAAGGTGTGGACTTTTCTCCATTTGCTCTGTTTCCTTTTCTTCGGGAATGTTAGTAGCTCTGTCTCATGTGTCCCCCAGATCCTGAAGAATGCAGAGTTGTTTGTTTGCTTATCTACTTTAATTATGGGTTCACCACACCACGAAGTGGTGGTGAACCCATATTGCTTTTTCTGATGTTTCTTCTTCTCCTCCTCCTCCTTCTCCTGCCATTTTTTAAATGGATTCAGCTTCTTCATTTTAGGGCCTAAGGTCCTGAAATTTGGTATGGAGGTACAGTGGGCAAATACCCCTAGGCGTTTTTTAAATTTTTGTGATACAGGCTTTTAGAATGGTTTTATTTGAGTTTTTTGGCTGTGTTATAGCAAATGTATTACTGTGTTAGTGTGCCGTGTTTACCACGTCTGGGCATGAGTCATCACAATGGAATGCAGGGCATCAACCAATAGGCATGCAGCTTTCCTCTATACTTCTTGCTGATTGGCTGTTGGGATTTAACTTGATTAACACCTGCACAGAGCATTTCCACCTGCACAGAGCATTTCTTGCTGATTGGCTGTTGGGATTTAACTTGATTAACACCTGCACAGAGCATTTCCATACTGACAGTATGTCTTTATTCAAGTGTTTTGGTAGGTATTTCAAGCTTTCCTGCTCCAGCATTGGAATGCGGGGCACGGACGTTTTTTTTTATTTTGAAAATCAACAGTTTGCATTATGCAATTAAAAATCCTAACCAATAAAGTAGGGAATAGCTATCCAACTGTTGTTTTAGTTGTATGTTACTTCATATTATAGTTATATCAATGTAAATCATTGTTTTCCCTTGTGTTTCTCATTCTTTCCCTGCCATGTCGTAAAATGTGGTGAACCCATCGCTGTATTTGCTCCAAAGCAAATATTGGCCTTTCTAGTATTTATTTGTTTCCTTATTACTAGTAACTTACTTCTTCTTAGCTAGAATATATGGCATGTTAGTAAACCTGTGTCATATGTCCTTTAGATGATACACGACGATGCTTTGTTTTTATTTTTACCTACCTATTTGTTTGTTTGTTTGTTTGTCTAGCTCGCCATCCGAGATGGACCTTCTGGGCATGTTGTGTTCTTTAGATGATACACGACGCTGCTTTGTTTGTTAATTTAGTTAAGTTTATTTATTTATTTGTTTGTTTATCTATTCTACTAGCTTGTTATCCAAGAGATGAACCGACTGGGCATGTTGGTGGACCTGTCTCACGTGTCGTTTAAGACGATGCACGACGCGCTGGACGTGACGCAGGCTCCAGTCATCTTCAGTCACTCCTCGGCGTACGCCATCTGTAACCACACCAGGAACGTGCCGGACGACGTGCTCAGGAGACTGGTCAGTGTCAGTGAACTGATCTTCACCTTGAATTAGTGCTGGGTACCAAAACCCACGTTTAGGTTTAGGTCCGGATTCAAGTCCACAGGTTTAGGTTCAGATCAGGACTTGTAAGCGAAACATTGGTCATATAACATGTAAGCCGACAGGTGCTTGACGATGCCCGATGGCAATGTCTTCTTAATTTTGCACCAATTTTGAAAGTAAAAAAAAAAGAAATTGTATGTATTAAGTTATGAAATGAAATACTCACGACTCTGTTGCCGTTCCTTCAGAGAGACACAGGGGGCGTTGTGATGGTAAACTTCTACAATGACTACATCAACTGTGGACCCAACAAGACTGAAAACACCACCATCGCACAAGTTGCAGGTTCGTTTGTGTTTTCTCATATCTTAAAGCAAGCTTAAGGGAGTTAAAAAAAACCCAAAATAGAACCCCATCGCTTAAAGACAATCATTTAACATTTTCCTTTATCAAATCAGCATCCTTAATATAATGTGAACGCCAAAAAAATGCAGGGAACCCACCATTCTGAGTTTGTGATTTTTTCCAGTTTATAAAGTTTTTGTTACCTTTCTTAATCTTTAGACCACTGTGACTACATCCGGGACGTTGCGGGGGAAGATCACGTGGGTCTGGGGGCAGACTATGACGGCGTGACGAGGTTAGTTCACGTGATCTACTGTTATGAATTAAAAAAAAACTTTTCTAAACTTTTTTTTTGTTTTCGTCTGTTTCCCAAAAAAGTTGGTGACCATACTGTAAATCGTATACAGCATTTGTATAGCTTTGTTGTAACAAACTCCTGCCCCCGGCAGGGTTCCGCAGGGGCTAGAGGATGTGTCCACCTACCCTGCCCTGATAGAGGAGCTGTTAAACAGGGGATGGACAGACGACCAGGTCAAGAAATTCCTGGGTCTCAACCTCATCAATGTGTTTAAGAGGGCTGAAGAGGTAATGATTTCTTAAAGCATAGTATTACCCTTGTCTTGCTGTACCCGTATACGGGTTGCACATGCTGGCCCTGTAAATGTACGTGTTGGGGAATATTTTTCATGAGTAGAAAAACGCACCGAACAAGTAACTATGCCACTAGCAGAGCAGAAGTCAGGTCAATGACCTGATTAGGAAATGAAATAAAAGAATTGCTAAAAATGCCAACAGGACAAGGATTCTAAAGTAATGCTCAGGCAAGCTTCTACAGAGAAGCTATGGTTAAATATGAAGTTTACTTGGATATGAAGTCAGTTTATTGGCGGCTAATTGAAGTTTGTCATAAAGTTTTAAGCTAGGAAATCTTGGAATTTTCGTTATTGATGCTTCATAAGATAAAGAAGAAATAGATTGCACGACAACGTAGCAGGTACAACATATTGAAACGTGTACATATATAGCTGCTATTGCGAACATTTGATTAATAGAATTGTATGAAATGACAATTTGTCCCTTGCCATCAACACAGGTTAGTGCGAGCATGACTATGGACCCACTCGATGACCTCATCCCGACTGCTGCCATTGCAAACGAAACCTGCAGAACGTTCCTCTAACACGGCATCGTATACTACTTGCACCAGTCAATATATTGTCACGTGATGTTCATGTGATCAATAGACCGTCCGCCATTTTGAATGTCAAGGTCAAAGCATGGCATGCAAGGTGGCAGAACACAGTTTTCGCCGTATGGCGATTTTTATAGTCAAGGAGTCCAAAGTGAGAAGGTTCGACGCCGTAAAATTTATAGTAGAGTGCACAAGTAATTTACCAAAATTAAATATGTTCGACCTCAGACAAGCTGCAATGATATTAGTACATGTATTAGTATGATTATGGCCCTACCATTATAATATAATAAATGTGACATTTGTGTGGGTTGGCAGATAAACTTGAAAAAATGTGAAACGACTGAAGAAGATGGGGAATGGGAATGATGAATTTGGGGAAATGTGAATTCTTGACACGGGGAAAGCGATACTTTACAGCCACCAACACGGTCACTTATTTGTGTTTTTATTTATGCCATTGCCAGCATATGCCAGGCCAATTCGTTTCAAAAGTGGTTCCGTCAACTTCTGAGACATCATAGCAATTATCAAAATAATTTCACTATTCACATTAAAAAAAACAATTTACAGACTTTCTCACTTTAGTCACATTATATTACATTTTTCCCATTAAGGTCACATTTGTACGCTTTGTATTGTAGGATAGCAATAATCAATTGAACTAATAAAGACATGTCGATACAAATGCAGTCCTAATGAATAACAGGTTAGAATTGTACGTAGACAGATTTAGTTTGTTGATGTAGAAAGATTTGGAGTGCTGACGTAGACAGATATGGTGTTTGATGTTGTCAGATTTAGTGTGTGGACGTAAGCTGTGGACTACGTATACATATCTAGCTTACTTTCTTTGCTAGGAACAATATACAATTAAGTATAAAAAACGTGGTCCACTATTTCTTTCTCTTGCTTTAGACATTATGGTAACACATTTAGCAAAGTGGCCGTTCTTTCAAAAGAAAAAAAAGAAAATTTATAATTTTACATTAAACTGTATCTTTAGGCTGAGTTTTGGACTACTGTTTCGTATTTGTTGCGTAAGTTATTGTCTTTTTTGTGTCTGTTTAAAGTGCTTATGACACCAAAATATGACCTTATCTCATTGTAGTTGACATAACTAGTATTACCTGGCTGACAGACACATTTACAATAAATATGCATGGTTCTCCTGTTACATTAAAAACTTTAATGCCCTGTTTTGGAAAAGTCAGCACAAGCCAGTCCTGGCAGGCGACTTACATCATTTTATTTTTTGCATTTCTGTATTCTTTCCTGATCTGATGTCACCCAGTGATGTCAGCTCAGGAAAAGGCACAGAAATGCAAAAAGTAAAACATAGAGATGTAAATAGAGATGCCTGAAGTGGGCGATTGTAAAAGAGTACTTGTAAGAGACGGGGTGGGGTAGGGTCGCTAGCGATCTCACTAAATATATACATTTCTTTTAACTCGCATTACCAACAACTGTATGACCCATGTGCAGACAACTCAGCATGACCTCATTTCACTCCGACTAACCGTTAGCCGGAGGGCAGTTTGCTTTGCTCGGTCAGTGAGACACTGGAGAACAAAAGGCAATGTTCTCACTAGGCTGGTTGAGTGTAGTGCCTGTACACCGTCTTTTAACTAGCGCAGGGGTGTTTGTTTAAAACTTTGACTTTAGAATGAAGCTATAACAAATGGATAACAAAACGTGCCCCTCGATAAGGAGGAAATAATATTAATGTATTGATTAATACTAATGATTTGCAAGGCATTCCATGACAGACCTCAAGATATTTATGAACTTACATACAGTTTTGTTGTGCCATACGGAAAATTTGTACGCTGAACCGCACACACACAAACACACACACACACACACAGACTCACCGACCTGGAAGACCTGCTAGGTTACGATGTGGGTCAGACGTGATCGAAGTACAAATTGGGTTGATTCGCACGCAGCTAGGTCAAACTTGCAAGGGGGTGGGACGCCAAGGCATTACTTCTATAGGGAGGCGAAAACTTTTCCATGATCAAGGATCTAAGGTAAGGCGATAGCAAGTTTTGAAACTTCTTCTGAAATCTATAAAGCCGGCGTATCATACCTAAAGAGTCTACGAACTCTATAGGCCATTATGGGCAGAAATACAACTGACTTGTCGATCATGGCACGATTTTGAGAGATCGGCAAGTGTTCGCAGAGTCTCGTCATATTAGACAAGGTGGATTTTTAGTCACTTCTAGATTTTGAAATTTAGCGATCGACCTTCTTCTCATCAACAAATTCGGCTGAAGTGTTTGACAGCCTAACGTCGATTTGAAAAGCATTATCACAGGAATAACAGCAAAATGACATGGTAGTAGTCTCTTGTGTTGTCAATCGACTCTTCAATAGAGACATAACTGTTAACGTGCATAGACTACGTAACTATGTACTAACAACAGAGATCCCTTAGACGTCAAGGGGACGTTGAAGAACTAGTACTCTTGTCTACCTGGTGCACGAGGGATACAAAATAGAAATGTTAACGTTAAAGTGGGAGGGTGGAAGTGTAATTGTTCTGTCAACCTTGTCGAATAATGTAGGCAGTAGACTCACGCCTCGGGGCGAATAATGATCAGATCAGCAGCTGAAGCACATCAAAATAATCCACCTCAGTAAATGCAATATGGAGAGATCTTTTTTTAAACAATTTCCCTTAGGTTTTAATGTTGAGTAGGGAATGTATTGTTGACATGGCCGCTATTTATGACATGTAATGAATATATGAATTAAAATATTTATTGACACAAAAAAGTTCATGGACTTTCAAAAGGTCTATATCTATAGACAAAAGCGGATACAAATGAATTAACGTAGTACATACCGGTATATAAATAAATCGAATTGTTTGCTACTATACTACTTGCTAGTTCTAGGCTCTAAGCATGATACGAATACCATTCGGCAGCAGGGAAAGTGACGTATCTTCACAATTCGTCGGTTTAGTTTAGTTTGAAGCTAGTTGCAGCTAAACTAGTAAGATGGCGTATATGGAAAAAAAACTGGTACGTTTGGCTCTTGATATTTGTTTAAATTACTCATGCTAAATTGTCTCCAGTACATCCTCATTTTTGTGCGTAGATATGTGGTGGACTGAAACAAACACCGTAGTCACTATTAGTAACAAATTGAGGCTAGTTAATCTTATATTGCTGTTTTATTATTGTCTCTTTCAATATAACAGATGGCAGACGGCGGTAGTGATAAATCTGATAAACCGAGACCGATCTTACACTGTGGAATATGCCTGGAGCCGTTCAAAAACCCAAAGGCATTGGCCTGTCTGCACACCTTCTGTCAGGACTGCCTTTTGAGCCTGGTCGGCAAGAGGTCGTACCTAACCTGCCCGACTTGCCGGACCTCGGTCAGCCTGCCCCCGAAGGGAGTTACAGGTCTCCCCGATAACTTCTGGTTATCGGAGTTGTCCACGTCCCCCACCAGACGGTCTAGCGCACTGTACCTGGCGTCGGCGTCATCAAAGGGCACAGAGGGTCTGGAGAGGGACTCTGGTATTTCAGAGTCTGACAGTCCGAATGGAGCGTTGATGGAGAGTGACCTTCAACCGGTAGGAACAAGGTCAAAGGCAAAGCAAAAAACGAGACCCAGTATTTGCGGGAAAAACGTCCACAGCGACGAGGACGTCCGGTTCTTTTGCGAACAATGCGAGGAAACGGTCTGCGAAGGTTGTTTGAAGAAGCACGCTGGTCATTCCGTCTGCAACATGGCGGAGGCTGAGGAGATGAGGACTTGCGAGATGCAGTCTCTCATCGGCATGCTGACGTCACAGGTCAATGACCTGAACGCGGGGGCCAAGAGACTCCAGGACCAGCAGAAACAGCTTCAGCAGGAGAGAGGACGGGCGGAGAGTCAGATCAGGCGCACCGCAGGGCAGTGGTGGGACGCGGTGAAGCTCTGCGAGGAGAATCTGCTACAAGAGCTGGAGAAGGTGTACGAGAGGCTGAGAGGCCCCCTGGCGGAACGGCATGAAAAAGCAGTGGCGCTCTCTACGGAGACAGCCACCGTCGTTAGCCAGTCTCGCGGAAAACTGAACAGAGCAGGGGTCATAGAAAAGCTGACGACCGTCCGCAAGCTTGGCGAAGCTCACGACCGAGTATTAGACTCAGTAAACGAAACGAACAGTTTTGCAGCACAGCGCATTAAGTTCTCGCCGAGGCAAATTTCCGTCTCGTAAACGGTCGTCGCCTTTCCGAACGGTCGTCGCCTTTTTTCAGAACGGTCGTCGCCTTTCGGAGCGGTCGTCGCCATTTCCGATCGACCGAACTTCAGTTCCGAATATCCGCGACATGTTCGGGACTTCCCCGAGTTCTTTGAATGTGTGAAATCACACTTCCTGAAGATAACATCGCGACCGAAGACGGGCCAGAACTTGGCTAGGTGGATTGAAGTTGCGTGGGTGCTAGTACATGTATTATAATTATAAGTTCCGGGGGTTGAATTATCTAGGTAAGAACTAGGTTAGTGTTTGAGAAATTCTCGATTGGAACGGGAAGGGTTTGGGTAACTCTGAACTCGAATGTCTCTGGGTATTTATTTTTCTTGTATGTGAACATGTCCTCTCCCTTTTTTCTTTGTTTCCTTTTGAAATGCGAATAAACATTATTTGAAAAAAAAAACCTCTGAACTAGAACGTTTGTAGGTTTTCATACATTGCTGAATTTGAAACGGGGGCGAGAAATACTCCACATGCATTTTTGGAACAGCCCATTGTGCGAGCATGTAATTTATGAATGCTGCAGGATGGTCTGACTCAGAAAACATTCATTCGGAAGCACCATCACACATGCAGGCATTTACTCTGACCAAGGACATTATGTCCTGACTGACTGACTCACAACTCCACCACAGCCGGGTTTTATTTTGTTGTCTCAGTGCTTGCCCAGCATAGCTAATCTCCAAGCAGATCCCTCTCGGTGGCAAAAAGACAGTATCAAATTGGCCAGGCAGTATCCATTAGCCAGAGAAGCTCCGCGGCCACCGACGGGGTGGGGATAAGAACAAAAAAAAACGCCATATATAAAAAGGTAACGATAATTCCCCACAACCTCTGCTTGGAGAGTACAGCATAGCAGGCCATTTCACACTTGTCACCAGCATGGCATTGATGTGCTACCCAGTGAATGTGTCGTATTTACATACAGTGCAGTGGTGAATGTGTCAAGTATTAACATTCAGCAAGGTAAAAAAACATAGACATTTCGGGATGAAAATAGCTTTACAAGTTTGTCAAAACTCCTGTCAAAGTAAGACATTGTCCCCCTTCTAAAACAGCAGGTCCTTTATTAATCCTACATGAATTTAACATAAACGAAAGGAATACATACCACAGGGATTGAGAAATATAGCACAGGGACGGAATCTATGTTTGTTTTTGG